TCGTTATACTTAAAGTTACTTTTTTCTGTTTTAAATACTAATTAAAATTAAAAAGCCCACTCACTAAACATCATCAGCGTTATTGTGAAACAGTTCCGCTTCCTCCTCACAAAGTAATTTAACGTTTTTAGTTAATTTCTATCTAGCTAATTGAATTTCTACAGTAACTTAGTGATTTAATTATTTCATTTTTTCATCTTACTAAGAACAAATGTTTAAACTATGTTAAACTTTTTAAACTACGCAAAGCATAAAATATTTATTAAAAAAACTTTTTTAGTTATAAATAAATCTCTTAACTATTTTTAACTCTTAACTAACTTCTCTTGACTATTTCCCCTGACATTGTGAGTCCCGGGGCTTTAGCCCTACTACCCCCACCCTTCTCAATCCGCAACTGGAAATTAGACATAAGTATAAAAATAAAAATTATATAAACTCTTTGATAAATCGAAGAACATTTGTTTCTTTATAGTTGTTACTTTATATAGAAAATGTCGCTTAATTTTATAAAAAAAGTTACAAAAGAGCGATGTTTCAAAAATAATTGCTCTAATCGTATTTATTTTGCTTAAAGTTTTTTCGCTTTAAAAGCTATTTTTCTTTCTTTAACAGTCTCTCATTGGTCCAGTTAATCTTATTGCGCTTTTTTGTTTGTTTTTGAAATGTTCTCAAAACGTGTTAAAAAACCTGGCCAGTTTTTCGCAACTAAATATTATTTATGTGTTCAATTTTCAAGTGCGATCACACCCGCTTCCCGACCAAGCCTGAAGATATACTTTGTTTTTATTTATTTTTCAAATTTTCAGATAAAATTTCCCTAAAAATGAACTCCTCTTACTTTTCCCCTTAATATATATATATCAGGCCTTGCGATGAATAAGAACTGCGCGACGCATAAGCACGACGTGATTTTTGACGTCATTAAATTCTTTTTATTTGCTTTTCATATTTATCGACGTTAACTGCACCAATTTACTTAATTACCGCAAAACTACTTTAAATCGTTTAAGTAGAAATGCTATTATTTAAAAATGTTTTGGAATTTTTTTTTTTTTTAATTGTAAAAACATTTATTTATTTTCTCGACGTTTGTCACATTTTGTCTATACTAAACGCTTAAAAAACATTATAACTTAAATTTAAAAAAGATTATAAAATATGCTAATATTTGATTTTTTTTTCCTTAAATATGTAATTTAAAGTTTTTCAAATAATTTTTTTTTTTTTTTAAAGTCAGCGAGTAATAAACTGGAAACTTTAATATTGTTTGATTAAAAACTGTGCAATAGCTAATATTTTTACAAGCGATTTTATATAATATTTATTTATTTATATTTATTTTCATAAAGCAGTTGATAAGCACAATCACTCGTATTAATAAAAAACTTAAACGAACGTTTTGAATAGATTTTTATTGTTAACAAGGAATTTTATTTCTAGTAAAATAAAATATAATGTTAGAATAAAAATCTTATAGGTATAAAAGAAATATTTCAGCAAAAAAATTATTCCTAAAAATTATTCGAAAAACTATTGACGTTTTATTTTTTTTAATTCAAACTTTTGTTTCAACTGCGTGCGGTTTTTAAAATACTTTATTAAATGTTAAAATAATCGTAAATTACTTCATTAAAATTCCGCTCAAAAATATCTTTAAATATACTCAAACAATAAATTTTTTGCTCGACGCAAATAGCCCTAGCTACACGCAAAATCGTTCTTGGACGACGTAAAATTCACATTGCTCGACGCTTTATCGCAAGGCCTGATATATATGTATATAAATATATATATATATATATATATATATATATATATATATATATATATATATATATATATATATATGTATATATATGTATATATATATATATATATATATATATATATATATATATATATATATATATATATATATATATATATATATATATTTATATATATAAATATATATATATTTATATAAATATATATATATATATATATATATATATATATATATATATATATATATATATATATATATATATATATATATATATATATATATATATATATATATATATATATATATATATATGAATATATATATATATATATACATATACATATATATACATACATATATATAATAATATGTATGTATATATATGTATATAAATATATATATATACATATATATACATATATATATATATATATATATATGTATATATATATATATATATATATATATATCTATATATATATATATATAAATATATATATATATATACATATACATATATATACATACATATATATAATAATATGTATGTATATATATGTATATAAATATATATATATACATATATATACATATATATATATATATATATATATATATATATATATATATATGTATATATATATATATATATATATATATATATATATATATATATATATATATATATATATATATATATATATATATACATATATATATATACATATTATTAGCTTACTTTACCTAAGAGTGTGAAATAAGCAGAGTAACAGAGTTGCATCTGGAAAGGAAGCACGTAGTACACCTCTTTCTGTCATGTCTTTGTCTGTCATGATAACATTAGTCTTAGACCACGAAACATTGTTTCTTTGAAATGATTCCACAAACCAACTAAAAGTAATAAAAAAGAGTTTTATATTATAATAAAAAACTTTTTATATGCTAATCATATAACTTAAAAAAGTAAAAGAAAGAAGTATCATCATCATAAACATTCCTGGAGGATTCCACAGTCCTGCAGAGTGTATTCCCTGGTTGTAATAAGACTATAAGGATTGCAGCTTTAGGTACCAGGATTGTTTTTTCAAATCACTATAGTATAAGTCATTATAGTAAAGTAAATATTATACACATTTTTTGGGAATATTTATTCCTACATTACTAATGCATGTATCAGTAATGTATTATACATACATTATTAATGCATGTATTATATGCCTACACAAATCAAACCTCAATGATTCTGCATCTTCATTTTTAAGTAAAGCTACAGCAGCTACCTCACTTTCACCTATATAATAACATAAATATTAGTTTCTAAAAAAGTAATATACATACGAAATACAAATACACTAATTTATTTCAGAAAAAAAAAATTAACAATTTTGCAAAATATATTTAAAGTCATTTTGTAACCAAACACAAAATACATAAAGCAATATACTAACCAGCACTATCTTCACAAATTATTATATAGACAGGCATTCGAGTTTCTAATAGCTTATATGTTGCATCCATACATATAAACTCAGGATATGCATTGAATGCATTATGCATGTCGAGATCTTGAAAAAAAATTCCTTTTAAAATCCCTTCTGGATCTGTTGAAACTTCAACATGTGCATCTGAAAATATATTTTAATTAAATATTTTAATAAAATTATACTTTTATGTAAAAGAATAATAAGTTTTTCTTCTTTCCTAGTACAAAGCATAAAATACATTTTTCAAAAATGTATTTTTCTCTCTATTTCTAGCACGCAAAAAAAAAGAGACAACTTTTGATCAACTATAGTTCTATTGTAATAACAAAACTTTTAATAGAAACTGCTTGAATAAAAAAAAAAAATTAATGCTATATTTGTCAAATAAAAATTATTTTTAGCATAATGGGCAAGCGGCAGTTTTCCGAAATTGGACCTCCACCTTATGCTAGTAATTTTTTTAAATGTGTCTTAAAATATTGTCTGGATACATATCACTGTCCACTAAAGTGTACCAAAAACATTCTTTTTTTTTCTTTAGGATACCTCTTAATTTTTTGCCATTCTCTGAAGTCCATTGAGGCTAAAAATTCTGTAAAGTCCACTGAGGCTATTAACAACCAAAAAACAAAATCAGTTATCAAAAAGTGATTTCTAAAAAAAAATAATCTTTTGAAAATGATGTTTTGGTGTCAATGTTATTTAATTTTCTAGGACATTTTTCTTATTTTCTTGTTGTTTTTTTAAACATTTATTGATAAATGGTAAAGTGAATAATATTATTAATGGTGTAATGCATGCTTTTATTTTATATGAATATTGAGTTTTTGAAACAGGCTCAAGAGGGCATTGACCACAGAGATAATATGGAGCCTTCCATTGTTAGCTAAATTATATTATCAATTGCTTTTTTTTTTTGGGAGGGGGAGAGTACATTTAGTTTAAAAATGGCACATTTAAATTTCTGTTTCATATGGGGAAACCAAAACTAACAGTTATTAGCAGGTCAATAGAGCTTACTGAGCAGGGTTTCTATAGATTGTGATTCATGCTTATAAGAGCTTACTAAGCTGGTAGGAACTTACTGACATGGTAGGATAGCTGAGATTTATGTTGGATAGTTAAAACGGCGGAAAATGACTGTTATTTTACATATTTAACAGGTTTTTGAAGCTAATTGAATGTGTCAATGGCTGCACAGAAAAGATTATCTTACTGATCCAAAACTTTGTTAGAGACTATTGATTGGGCAACATAATAAAGAACCTCATAGTGGTCACTAAAGAATAACTTCTTAAAATAGAAATAAATATTTTTAAAAGACTTTCATTTTTCACAAAAAATTGCACTTTTTTTTTGAAAAATGAAATTTTACAGCTATCACTTTGTCTGGAAAAAAAAGTTTTTTTTGGTAATTTTACCCTATTTGGACCTTTGAGAAAAAATTGAGAGGTAATGCTTTTTTTTTGGTACACCCAACTGCCCCTAGAAAACATTTTTAGCCTTTCAGCATTTACTTTAACCTATATTTTATGAATATCTTCAGCTATATTGTAAGACTATCTGCATTCTAGGTGTATTAAATTTAAAAAGATCGATTCAAAATCCTATTTAAACTATTTGAGTTAGACATATGACTCTAAGAGAAAAAAAAAGAAGTCTTAGACTGATTAGATTAGGGATAGTGACTGCATCTGGACAATTAGGACCAAAATTGAGTACAACAACAACAAGAACAACAAGTATTTATTAATATGCTTATAGATTTATAGTAAACAATATAATAGCAATAACTGTACAAAGGTATTTTAAATACTACTTACTATATTTTTCTTTTAAAGTTGTCACAAATGATGTGATATCATTCCGGCTATCATTTTTGTGAGAAGAAGCAGCAATATTTGATATATCTCTAAGAGTTATAACTTTGCCTGTGGAACTAATTAATTCTTTTTGCAGCAGCTTTTTGTTTGGCTTTAAATTCATTAACTCTTTAGCTTTATGAATAGCATAATCTGGAAGCTTTCGTTGATTAGGCAGGTGCTTATAGAGAATCTGATGGATTTTAAAAAGAAAAACAACAAAAATCAAAGTGGTTCATCTGAGATAAATACAATCAAGTAATATGGAAAAGTATGAGAAAATAAATAAACTTATAACTTACTTCAGAAACTTCATGATTGTGATTATTATCCATATCTTGCCAAACTAATGATTGTCCATCTTCTGATGCTTTAAAATGCAGGTAGAAAAGACAGTCTTTTTTAAAAGTTCTATAATAATTATAATAACATAACATTACTAACTAACATAAAGTAAACATCTAATAGTTGTGATAACATATAATAATAATAACAAGAATGTTTATTAGCTATTTGATATTTTGTGACTTGATAATTTTCACCGTGACTTTTTTATTTTGTTTTTTGATTTTTTAAATTTTATTCTTAATGATTGCCTGCCCTAACTAAAACCTTTTTATATGCATTCACATGTAATGTTGCTTCTCTTTCTCTTTTCTAAAAATACTATAGTTGCTGCTCCATAGAGCTAGCTTCTTATGTGCCATCTACTAAAAATAATTCTTGTGTTTAGAGTTGCAAAAAAACGTTAAAAAAAATATATATATTTTTTGGTTTTTCTGGTGTTGTATTGCTTTTTTTAACAATTTTTTAGTTTTTTTTTCGACATAAATTTTGGAAAAGTTTTCTTTTATTCTGGTATAATTTTAGTATTTGGCCATTTAAGACTTAATTAGATTTATAAACACCAATTTAAAATAAATTTTCAATAAAAAATTTAAATTAGCTTTATGTTAGTTACATATCTAGGCATACTGTATGGAAATGTTTACTTATTTGCTTTGTTGTACTAACATCTGTTATATCATTATATTTATCATTATATATAGAAACTATTCTTATCCTATAAGAAAGATACCATTTTAATTTTGATAATGTTAATATATTAGTATATAATACCATACAAGTTTAATATCAGACTTCAAATGCTCATAAAAAAAAGCAATCTAACGATATTGTTTACTTATTTGAGCATTGGTATATTGTTTAGTAATTAAGTCTTACATTTTTTGTTTGTTATATTTGTCAAAAAAATATATATTGTTAGTAGGCCCTTATAAAAAAAAAGCCCTATACTAAACTTAATTTCAAGGAAAATTTAAATATTTTAAATTATTATTATTATTTACGGATCTGTATTTTTTTTTCTAACTACATGATTTATTTATCTAGACATTTTCATATAGCACTATATCAGAACACTTGCTAAATTCTTTAACATGCTTTGTTTTTCAATTTCTATTATTAGACATAATCTTATGGCGAAAGGATTGTTTAACTTTTTCCATTTTGCTATTTTGGTTCAGAGGTTTAAAAAAATGGGTGACTAAAATTTTATTTCTGTCCCCTGTATGGAGAGCCTATTCATAATGTTCTTTATACATATATATATACATACATACATACATACATACATACATACATACATACATACATACATACATACATACATACATACATACATACATAGATATATATATATATATATATATATATATATATATATATATATATATATATATATATATATATATATATATATATATATATATATATATATATATATATATATATATATATATATATATATATATATATATATATATATATATATATATATATATATATATATATATATATATATATATATATATATATATATATATATATATATATATATATATATATATAATATATATATATATATATATATATATATATATATATATATATATATATATATATATATATATATATATATATATATATATATATATATATATATATATATATATATATATATATATATATATATATATAATATATATATATATATATATATATATATATATATATATATATATATATATATATATATATATATATATATATATATATATATATATATATATATATATATATATATATATATATATATATATATATATATATATATATATATATATATATATATATATATATATATATATATATATATATATATATATATATATATATATATATATATATATATATATATATATATATATATATATATATATATATATATATATATATATATATATATATATATATATATATATATATATATATATATATATATATATATATATAATATATATATATATATATATATATATATATATATATATATATATATATATATATTATATATATATATATATATATATATATATATATATATATATATATATATATATATATATATATATATATATATATATATATATATATATATATATATATATATATATATATATATATATATATATATATATATATATATATATATATTTGAGGTTTTAAAGTCAAATGGAAATGTCGCATATTTTTATCAGTGGTTTTACATTCCTTACGGAAAGTTATTAAAATATAATACTATGTTTCCATAACGGTGAAACCATTAATACTTTAACTGGTATTTATGGTAAATAGTAATAGTTAATTTCACGGAATAAAAACCATTTAGGATACGTGTTATTCTTTTTGTTTTTGAAGGTTTTAAAAACGCAACAGAAACCAAGCGTAAATATTTATTTACGCTTGGTTTTCTGAGTTGTGCCGTCTGGGTACAGATATTATGGTGTTTAAAAACCATAAAAACCTTTTAGTGGGGGGAATAAAAGTAAATATTTAGCGAAAGAGTTCAAATTGTGATATCAGCTTGAAACTTTCAGGAAGTTGTCTATGAATTAAAAGAATACAAAAAAAAAAGACCCCATTCTGAAAATATTTTTTTGGTCCTGGGGCGACCCCCAACTGAGTTGACTGTAAAACTATAAAATCTTCTGAACCAATTATATAAGGTTGCATTAAGCAGAATGTTAAGAAACAATAAACAACTATACCACATTACTAATTAAAATATGATTAAAAGCATAAAAAAAGTTTTATTTATATATTACAGAGTAATGGAACTAATTTTTTTTAAAACTTGTTAACAAAAATGAGGTTTGTTCATTTTATTCAAAACACTGACCAGAACACTCGCATAGGTCTGTACAGGATAATCCTGAACATTTGCATTTGGGAGATTCCATGTGAAAACATCCAGGGCATGCAACCCTAAGTCTCAGATTTTGCTGATTTTTAAACCACTTAAAGATTTTAGTAAATTATGAACATCCTGAAAATTTTATCGTCTAATTTCAATCGGTTCCTAAGATATAGCTATTTTAAGTTTGCCCCCAACCAACAAAAATCCAACATTTTTAAAAATGGTTTTGGTCCTAGTTTCTGTTATATGTGTGTTGGAAAGCTGAAAATTTGTACCTTTACATATTTTGGGCCAACGAATCCAATGAAACAACTTAAAATATTTAAAAACAAGCATAACACCTAAAATTTGAACGTTTACCACAATTTTACTGGGGCGAGTCCGATCACAAAAATGCCGATGTAGCTTGATTTTTTTTTTTTTTTTTTTTTTTTTAGAAGTTGTTCTGAATAGTTAAGCTATAGTTACTACAAAGAATTGGAGAGTGGTCTTTTCTAAAACAGAAATAAAAATATGGTCAAATCTACTTAAATTTATTGCTTAAAAAACAGGTATTTTGATAAATTTAACTATACAAAAAGATGTGATAATTTGACAGTTCTGAAGCTGAAACAGTTTTGGCTATATCGAAATGTTCTTTTAGATGTTGTTGAATTGCTCTTTCTATTTTTTTAGTAGTTTTATGGTTTAGAAATGTTTATAAGGTTGTAAAATTAAAGTTAGAATGCTTACTAATTAAGTTTAAATTTCTAGTCCTAAACAACCTTGACCCCATGAACACATTGAATGAATCATAGATTTTTCTTGCATCTTTTTCAGAAATAATAATAGTATATTGATAAAATGGAATCTTGTGGGTTTGGAAATGTTTTAAAAGATGAATGTCACAAAATATGTTTTGTTCGAAAACAAGGATTAAAAGATTTTTGTAATCTAGAAAAGGACTTTCAAGATACTTATATTTGGAGGTCTGGTTTGCTTGAGACTACATCATACGAAGAGATAAAGTCTATTTGTTATCATCATGAGCAGGTTTTTGGACCGATATTTCTACTAAAGAATGATAAGTGTTGCGATGTTTTAAAAAGACACAAAAAGAAGGTTAAAGGTAATATATATATTTTTTGATAATTCACCTCCTCAAGGCCGAGCAGGCCACTACAGACGAGGAGGCTACTTATTTATGGTTATAACCCTCTCTTGACTCTATAACTCCGAAACACGAACCTTGACAAATAAGGCAGCTGTACGGAGAAACAAGTTGAGTGCGGTACTACCAGGGACGTGGTGGGGATCGAACTCGGAACCTCTCGCTTATGAACCGAGCGGTCTACCACTACACAACTACCGCATATATATATATATAATTATTTATTATATATTAACTTATATATATATATATATATTATATAAATTAATATATTATAATGTAATATATATATATATATATATATATATATATATATATATATATATATATATATATATATATATATATATATATATATATATATATATATATATATATTATATAAATTAATATATTATAATATAATATATATATGTTATATAAATTAATATATTATAATATAATATAATATATATATATATATATATATATATATATATATATATATATATATATATATATATATATATATATATATATATATATATATATATATATATATATATATATATATATATATATATGTATATATATATATATATATATAAATTTAGAAGCAGGGTATGTTTATTTAAAATTAATGATTTTATTTTAGGTCAAACAACCATATCTCTTGAAATGGCTCATAACCTTAAATCCAAAAATCTAGACTGTAAACCAGGATGGAAATTTTGTCGCTCATGTATTCAGTTTTTGTCAAATCGCATTAAAGTTTCTGATAATGAAATGTATAGTGAAATTGATGGCGATGTATTATTTGTTAAAGATAAATCTTGTAATAAACAACAGTTAGACAACTCTTTAATATCAATTGGAGTCTCACCAATTAAAGTTCATGGTGTCGCAAAGCATCAACGAGTTGTAACAGCAAAAAGAAAATTAGTCAAAGCCTACACAAAAATGGAAGAAGGTGTAGCAAGTGCTTATGGAGTAATTATAAATAACTTAAGTGTAGCCTCAACTTTTTCCAGTCAATCTATGGATAAAAAAAAAGCAAATGATCTTGATCATTTGACAACTTTAATGAAAGAAAAACTTAAAGTTGAACCATTTAAAAAAAAGTTCAAATATTAACACTTACACCTGAATCTTGGTCTAGAAAATACGCTTCAGAATATTTTGAAGTTTCTGAACATCTTATACGACGTGCTAGGAAACTTAAAAGTGAAAATGGAATTCTTGCTATACCTGATAAGAAAATAGGCCAAAAAATACCTGACTTTCTTACAGCTTTGGTTCAAGATTTTTTTCAACAAGATTAGCATTCTAGAATTATGCCTGGTAAAAAAGATTGTGTTAAAGTTAAAAGTGGTCCTCCACAACAAAAAAGATTATTATTGTGCAACCTTCATGAGCTTTATATTGATTTTAAAAGTAAATACCCTAATTATAAAATAGGATTTTCAAAGTTTTGTAGTTTGCGTCCAAAATGGTGTATTAGTGT